AGATAGAATCACAAAGTGTTTAGCCTCGGAGCGTTTCATGATGGCAACCCTGGAGCTGCGGATTGCCCCTCTGAGGCAAATTTTCTTATGGCCGCCACTGTATCCGGCACAGAAGACTATGAACGCTTTGCACATAGCCGAGTAATGAGTCCATGCAGTGTCAAGAACATCGAGAAGAAATTGAGGTAGTAATAATTGGCGCTGAACAACGGCCTCTAGCAGAGTTTGTAGAAAATTATCGGCACAATGTGTTTGGAAGCCAAAGCAGTCTGATAACAAGCTAATAAAGGAATCTTTCACTGGAGACTCGAAGGAGCGCACTCCTGGGGAGATGATCGGACTACGACAGCAGTGCCAAATTGCGTTTAGTCCTCATTACGGCGTTTGTCCGGTAAACGAGGCTACCAAGACATTTTCTCAGTTTATTCTGTGCATTTAGAGCAAAGACTATTTTCGTGGCGTCGATCTATGTCATCGTATTTGGTGCAAAGATCGAACTAAAAAGAGAAGTGAGCCTTGCGAAACAAGAAGCTATCTACCTGCTTTGGATGGGACGGAATGTGGCAAGATGAAGGTATCAAAACTCATTTTTTCGACTTCAGCACTAACAATCTTGTATTACATTGCCGCTACAGAAGCTGAATTTGGCTCCTTAAGCATCAATACTGCTGACAATCGAGCTTAGAGTAAAACGCAATAAGCTATCTGAGCATCTTAACTAAGATTGAGTTAAATCACTCTTTTCTCTACTTCTTTTCGTATTGCACCATAATCAACTAAACTATCAGCCAAAGCGGCGCTTCTCCAGGTACTCAACTTTTGTATGTTCTTGCACTTTGCAAAATTGCTGCTGTCCTTTCTGAGTTCTTTGAGCCAAACTGTTTCCTCCCCGGTTCCTTTTCACCCGAAAGAGAAATTTCCTGTCTATTAATCTTTTCTCGCATTCTCACATGCTTCAAATCTAGCTTAATCGCTTCCGAATCTTGCCTCAAATGTGCTCTTGAGAAAATGCGCTACTTGCACTTTCACAGT